AAGAGAGAGGGGGGAGAGGTCATCAGGGGAGGGAGAAGTGAGATATATCGGACTGATCACGATGTAGGAGGGATTGTTGACTCAATACCACGATTGCTCTGTAAATGACAACAAACTTGATCAATTTAGCCATGGAGCCATGCCTATTCATTTTTCTCTAATCTTCTGATGTCAAGGACCATCGGATTAAATCAATAATTCAAATAAAGTTAACAAATTACTAGAATCTTTCTGAAACCCTTCCTTTGCTCAATTTCAAACAACCTCTACAATTAGTGGACGACATAATGGTCATTGTTGTGTTTTGCATCTCAACATTTTAACCTTGACCATTCCTGAGCTAGCAAAGGAATAGCTTCACTGTATCCCTACAATCAAAGGAGTAGCACCGGGATTGACAATGGGCTAGGCAATAAGAGACAATGCTGACATTACCCGTGAGGTTCATGGTGTTGGCGCTTCTTCGCAATTTATGAACAAAATGGTCAGCAATTGTGCTAAACTCTTCACCTCAAATTGCTAATGTGATAGCTGCACTCCTACTATGCTCATAAGCTATTATGCAGTACCATTGGTAAATACAATGAACCTCAGCAAACTTTTACAGTATCTCCTAGAAAAGGGAACTATGTCGAATGGGAACAAAAATCGTGCATTAATCTTCGCACAAAATACGTAGTACAGAAAAATGAAGTGGATTCTGTTTCGAATATTTGATCGCCACAAGAAATCCCTGGTGCCCTTTTTTCTCAAAAACCTTTATAATTCCACTTCTACGCCTTTTGTTTAACTTACTAGTTTGCTTTTGAACTTGTTTGCTCGCACTATTCGTACACCGTCTAATACTTACAATCTTTTCTCATTTGATTTGAACTAATTGCCGATAAATAGCATGAGGATATATTTGATTTCATTGTGCTCAAGTATTTGTACTTGCTTTATTGATCACTCAAATCTAAGTAAGGTAATTATCACTGAAATATGCATTGCATAATGCTTAAAATGATGTGGGATTAAAGCAAGATTATTTATAACTATAGCAATTTATATTGTTAGTTGACAGCAATGTTATTGCTGCAGATTTAAAGTGTGTGTCATATTCCAACAATGTTGCAGCTTTGTAAGT